AGAACAGCAAACTCACTCCTAGCATTGACACCTACTAGTTGTATGTTCGAGATTGCAGAAGAAGCAATATAGAGTTAATGACTGTCATAATGACTGAGATGCATGATGACATCAGTAATTTTTTAGTAGATCTCTTTTTGGACACAAAAATCACCACCAATATGACTATGTGTCTTTAAAACTATATTTATGTATATACATATATATACATATTTAGGTATATAGCACAACCAAACCTCTATTGTGAGTATAAACCTTTATAGGTACTCCAGAGCAATGGTTAGCAAACTATGGCCCATGAGCTAAATCCAGCCTCACATCTGCTTTTGTAAATAAAGTTTTAATAGAACACAGACATGCTAATTCAGTACTATATGGTCTATGGCTGTTTTAATGCTATATAGCAGCAGAGTCAAATAGTTATGACAAAGACTGTATGACATGCAAAATCTAAAATACTTACTCTCTGTCTCTACAGAAAATATTTGCTGACTCCTGCTATAGATTGTAAATGAAAGGTCAGCAGAATACATGTGCATTTTTTTCTTTTTTTATTGCTAGAATCGGTTGTATGAAATGGGATCAAGGAGCTGCTAATTGTTGGGACCAACGTCTCCTCCCTACAGAGCTAGAAATCTTGGCACTGTGTCATGTCAAAGGTGAAAAACAACAAATGAAGTTCATTTGATGAGGTTTAAGAAATGTATTTTCTAGCGCATTTTGAGGTGTATCTAATCTTTGGGTTGTAGAAAATGACAACGTGTTTCAAAACAGTTGAAAAGAACGTTTTAATCTGTTATGTTCATTAGTATTTTATAATAATTTCAGAACTATCAGCTAATAAAGTATCATAAAAGACTATATTGAATTGCAGTAAAAAGTTTTGAGTCCATCTGTTAACATTTATTTGTCTAGTTATTGTGGATTTCATGCTCATAAAACTATTGGTAAAACATATGATCATTTAAGTCATATTGCCTCATAAATTTTGGCCAGCTTATTTTTCGTAGACCCATGTTGGGGTTTACTCCTTCAGCTGATTTTGGTTTTCATGGACATTAAAAGAGATGCTACAGAGTTTCTCTATAATTTGCCGTTTAATGAGTGTCTTCATCACGAATGATGGAAAAGTGTATAAGGAAGTTAGTATGTTCGCTTTGAACCATGACTAAGTACCTGGTACTGGACTTGCCTTCCTGTCACAAACGAGTAAGAAACTAGAAAAACTACTTAAAGCAACTGTTTTCAGGCAATGATAAACAGGCAGCACGTGACTGATCCATGAGCGCAAAACACGCAGGTGAACTCCATAATCAGGAAGGAGACACTTAAGTAAAGTGGTGGCCTTGCTGAGTTGAGGAGGAAATTATCAGAGTTCAAGGTTGTTGGAATGGCTGAAATTTTGTAGGCTAGAATATCTGAGCGCTCTCTCTCTCTCTCTCTCTCTCTCTCTGTGTGTGTGTGTGTGTGTGTGTGAAAGAGAGAGAGAGAGGAAGAGACAGAGAGAGGAGAGCGAAAGAGACAGAGAAGGGGGAGGAGGGGGGAGAGAGGGGGGGGGAGAGAGAGAGAGAGAGAGAGAGACGGAGACAAGAAGGGGGTAATACTGAAAGCTTGTATGGAAATTCACTGAGGATACAGATGTGCCAGGCGAGACCTTGCAAGACTTAGCAGAGCTTGCCTGCTGTAGGGGAAAGGCTGAAGAGTGATACTAAGGGTGAGGCAGTGCTGGAAGACGTTAGATTTCCAACCTAGCAGTGGAGTAACTTCACTAATACCTTGAGCACTTAATTGAGAATCCAGAACCAAGCCTTAGGAGAAAGACCCATACAAAAGAGTAAGGGGAATATGCTAGGACTAAATTTAAAACCAAATAAGACTTATACTGAAAATGAATAATACCAAATTTCACATGACCCAAAGAATCCACCACTAATTAAGCTGCATGCCACACAAAACATAATATAATTTAAATAAGCCAACACAATCCAGATTCCCTATAAATATCACTACAAATGTCCAGTATACAATTAAGTTTTATCAGCTATCCACAGAGATAGACAGATGTGAACCATAAGAGAAAAGGCACTCTATTAAAAAAATGTCTGTGAGATGATCCAGATGTTAGGATTAGCAGAAAAAAAATTTAACCTAGCTTTTGTACTTTCAAGGACTTAAAGGAATAGAGTCATAATAAATGGGATATCAGCATATAAATGAAAACTTTTTTTAAAAAAGACATATTTCAAGAACTAAGAAGTACAGAAGTTGAATTTAAAAATTCACAATATGGGCTTATCAGTAGACTGGACACTGCAAAAACAACAAAAAAGTTAACTTGATGATAGATCAATAAAAGTATTCAGTCTAAAGCTCAGGAAAAAAATGAACTGAGTCTTGGTACATATCAATATGGAGTGGTCTTACATACATATAATTGGAGTCCCAGAAAGGGAGCAGAAGCATAATTGCACAGAAAAAATATTTAAGACAATAATGGCTGAAAATATTCCAAGTTATCATAAAGCAAATGGACAAATCTAGGAAACTCAGTGAATACCAAATAGGCTAATTACAGAGAAAATTACACCTAGACACATTATGGTCAAACTGCAAATAACCAAGTATTGGGAAAGAAAAGTTTTACAGGCAGTCTGAGAAACATAATACATTATGCATGGACAAAAATAATAAAGTGATAGCTGACTTCTCATCTAAAACAAGAGGTTGAAATCATCAGAGGGCTTAAAGTGCTGGTGATGTATAAAAACTGCTAATCCAGAATCCTATATCTAGAAGAAAATCCTTCAAAACCGAAGACAGAATAGATATTTTCAGATAAATAAAAACAGAAAATTCAACACCAATAGACCTCCACTGTAAGCAATGCTAAAAAAAATTCTTTAGGATGAAAGACGACATACCAGATGGAAACTGAGATCTGTAATGTTTTAGTTATCCTTTTGATATAATAGATTTAGTAACTTAAAATAATAATCATTTATTATTTCTCCCTATTCTATAGCTTTGCTTACCTGGATGATTCTCCTGCTCTGGATATTATTGGCTGGGGTCACTCAGGTGGCTGCACTCAGCTGGGTGTTTAGCCAGGGCTGGAACTTCCAAACTAGCTTCATTCACATGTCCGGTAGTTCAGCTGTGTGGCTGAAATGGTTGGGATGGTTGGCTGAAATGTTTTTCATTCTTTAGTAATCTACTCTAAACTTATTTATTTGTTGGCCAGATTTCTAGAGAATAAAAGTAAAGGTGTATGGCTTCTTAGGGGCTAGGCCTAGAATTGGTATGACATCACTTTCACCATGTTTTGTTCATCAAAGCAAGTTAAAAAACCAGCCCAGATTCAAGGGGTGGGAACATAGATTCTGTTTCTTTTTTTCTTTTCTTTCTTTTTTTTTGAGACAGAGTCTCACTCTGTCACCCACGCTGGAGTGTAATGGTGTGATCTCGGCTCACCGCAACCTCTGCTTCTCAAGTTCAAGCGATTCTCCTGCCTCAGTCTCCCAAGAAGCTGGGATTACAGGTATGTGCCACCACGCCCAGCTAATTTGTGTGTGTGTGTGTGTGTGTGTGTGTGTGTGTGTATTTTCAGTAGAGACAGGGTTTCACCATGTTGTCCAGGCTGATCTTGAATTCCTGACCTTGTGATCCACCTGCCTTGACCTCCCAAAGTGCTGGGATTACAGACATGAACCACCACGCCCGGCTGATTCTATTTCTTAAAGGTAGAAGCAACATGCACATACAAGAATGTGAATACTTTTTGACAGCTATTTTTAAAGATAATTCACCACAAACAGGAAGAAATGAAAAGAACTGGAAATAGTAAAATGTAGGTAAATACATAAAAGGTAATATATATTTTTCTTCTCTTAATTTCTTTGAAATACATATGACTAAGGCAAAAATAACAATGTGCATAGATGTTATATATATGACAACAAAGCACAAAGGACTTGGTGAGGTGGTAAGTAGAACTTTACTACTGCAAGGCTGTTTTATTTTACATGAAGTATCATAATTTTAACTCTAAGGCTGTGATAAGTTAAGAATGTATATGATAATTCTCAGAAACACTGTAAAGCAATAATGCAAAAAGATATAATTAAAGCCAACAGAGGGATTAAGATGAAATACAAAAACATTAATTAACCCAAAAGAAAGCAGAAAGTGGAGAACAAAGGAATACAAAACTAATGGGACAAATCAAAAACAAATAGCAAAATGATAGACTTAAACTCAACTATCTGTTGTCTGTAACAGAAGCACATTAAATTAAAAAACACAGGTTGAAAGTCAAAGGATGGATAAAGATATAACAGTAAACAGTAAGCCAGGAAGGCTGTAGTGGCTATACTAATATCGAATGAATTAGACTTCAAGATAAGGAGTATTATCAGCGATGAAGACATTTCATAATGATAAAATGGTCAATTCATCAAGAAGACACAAGAACCACAAATGTTTATATGCTCAATAACAGAGATTCAAAAATGCAAAAGAAAAGCTGACAAAACTAAAGAAAGTGGCAAATTCACAACCACAGTTTGAGTTTTACACTCCTATCTCAATAATTAATAGTAACACTACACACAAAACAATCAATACAATATAGAAGATCCGAAGAAAACTATTAACCAACTTAATCACATTGACGTTGATGGACACAATGCTCAGTAACTACAGAATACTTATTCTTGTCTACTGCTCATAGAACATTTACCAAGATAGACTATATTATGGGCACAGTAAGTCTCAAAAAACTTTAAAGTATCAAAATTTCAGTTTGTTTTCTAACCATGGCAGAAATAAACTGGTAAACTCCAACAAGAGTAGTCATAAAAAAGAGAGAAGATGCAAATGATCAATATCTGTGTTTCATTTATCTATTCCTATGTAAGAAATCAGTGCAAACTTCAGTGACTTAAAATAACAACTGTTTTATTGCTCATAATTTTGTGAGTATAGGGCTGAGAACAGCTCACCTCTGCTCCGTGTGTTGTCAACTGGTCTCGCTCATGTAGTTGCATTTGGCAAGTGCCTGATTTAGGATACACAGTCTGAGATGAATTTCTTCACATGTCCAAAACCAAGGTGCTGACTGTTGGTTCCATGTGGCCTCTCTTTCCCTGTGGTCTTTCACACTCCAAGGGCTCTTTCTTCACCTGGCCACTCTCTCCAGCAGGATAGGCTGGTCTTCTTTTTGTAGCTACTCAGAGCACTGAAACATGAAAAAAAAAAGAAGAAAAAACTGTGTCTTTGAGGATACAGTCCCTGGGGTGGAATTCTAGCCCATGTATTTTAGTTTTCTCTATATTATTTTCTGAGATATTTTTGTTTTTATGCTTTCATACCACATTCCTTTTTTATTCTTGTTAGCTGTGATATAGGATAGTCTATTTATGATGAAGTCTCTTCAACTGTTTGGCTGTGTTAAGTTTGTCCTTTAACAGATTGTACAGGAAGCGTTCATGGAAATAATATTCCTTAAATGACAGTTTGCAACTTTAAAAACAACATAATTCATCACCATATTAAGTTGCTCTTTAGTACAAAGCAATTGTTAAGAACATCTTTTTCTTAGGACATGCCTTCTTATAGATTGAAATCTAGAAAAGTCTTTTGCATGCTTTATGTTTTCATATTTGTCACGTCTTTTTTTTTTTTTTTTAGACGTGGTCTTGCTATGTTGTCCAGGATGGCATCGAGCTTTTGAACTTTTGAGCTCAGCGAGCTTCCTGCCTCAGCCTCCGGAGTAGCTAGGACTACAGGGGCTTGCCACGGCAACTTCCCTCCTTCCTTCTTGTTTATGCTATTGGATGTGATCTAGTTGATTTTTTAAAATCTCTTCTCTCCAATACATTTTCCGTCAGAATTGTCGCCTGGGAAAGAAAAAAGGTAAGTAGGGCACATTAAGTTATTCCCATTGTTTCCTACTGCTCCTTAGAGGTGTTTGAGAACTTCAAGGAAAATCAGAAAGTTCTTCCTCACTTTCGGGAGAACATAAACTTTTAGCCATGTAAAATAATTTCTGGGCTGGTTTTGGTGAATTTATACCTCAAGCCAATGGGAGAAAAGTAGCCAGACTAAGCCTCTAGTCAAGAAAGTAATGATTATGTATGTTATTTTGTGTGTGCTCTCCTGAACTAGGCATAATTTATGTTAGCCCTGCCTGTAGGGTTAGAGCACAAGCTTGAGTGAGGACTCAAGAACTAATGACAGAAAGAGCAGCAGAAAGAACTTTTCTTGCAAGTCCTTAACTACTGCATATTGTTTATGAAGACAACATAGAATCAACTGTTTGTAGCATTTTAAGGAATCCATGTACAATTTTTTTTTTTTTTTTTTATTAAAGACAGGGTCTCATTCTGTCGCCCAGGCTGAAGTGCTGTAGCGTGATCACAGTTCACTGCAGCCTCCTCCTCCCCAGGCTCAGGTGATCCTCCCACCTCATCCTCTCGAGTAGCTGGGACGAGAGGCATGCACCACCACCCCAGCTTATTTTTTAAAATTTTTTTTGTAGGGACGGGGTTTCATCATGTTGCCTAGGCTGGTTTCGAACTCCTGAACTCAAACGACCCGCCTGCCTTGCCCTCCCAAAGTGCTGGGATTACAGGCATGAACCACCGTGCCCAGCCTCAAACTCTTACTAGACCCTTTAATTTCCCCTCTGATACTCTGATTCTACCCAAATTGTTCACCTTCACAGAGGAAACTCAGTGATTCGTGGGGGAGCTTATTATTTGTGCATCCTCATTTGTGGACAAAATTCTTTCTTGCTGTGACTTGAAAGCAGCCTCCCTTTAGCTTTCACTTATTAGTCCTAGTTCTGTTCTCTGCTGCTAAGAAAAAAGGTCTGATTCTTCTTTCACGGATCAGCCCTCCAAATATTGGAGAAGCACACTGCGTTTCCTTAACCGTCTTACTTTTGACCCATAATTCATTTGTTTGTCTCAACGTCCCTCATGCAAGTTGAACCAGACGGGTCCGCAGAACAATTTTTGCTGAGAAGGCAAAAGAAATTCTCGCCCAAATTGTGGAGAAGGGAGTCGAACCAATTAAACCCAAAGCTAAAAGCGTAATAGAAAAGAACTTTCAAGCTCGCAATGAACAGGATATGCATGGATTTGTCTCGTCACAGCCACTAGCCACGCCTCCACTCGTGCAGTGCGCCTGCGAGCCGAGCAGAAACCAATGGCCCATCGTAGTGAATTTCTCGGGCAAAGTGACATTCTGCGCTTTTGAATGCTCCCTTCGCCCAGCCGCCGACCCCTCGCCCCAATTTCCATTTTAAATGAAAGTCTCCCACTTTCTAGCTGAGACAGACAAAAATAAAGCTCGGACAAAACTAATCGGAGAGAGGCAGTTCACTGTCACTTCCTGGGTCACTTGCAAAAGTCACTTCCGGGGTCGAGGCGAGGCCAACAATACGCCTGCTACCGCAGGAGTTACGAGCAGAGCCGCGCGCAGCCCGAATGCCTAAACCAGGTTTTGCGCATGCTCATATAAAGCTCTCCTAACCCGTCTTCCGGTGGGAATTTCTTCACGTGGTCCGGAGTCGGAGACTGAATTTAGCTTTACTGAGGAGCTCTAATTTTAAGCCGGTAAGTGCCGCAGATATCGTCCGTGGTTCCTGCGTTTAAATGGGACGGGAAGGGGTGTGTCAGGATTCATCCATGTTCTCCTAATATTTCCTCCTAATACCTGAAACCCTTGGAGTCTGAGAACGAGAGAAGGGGCTAGAGAAGCTTTGGTTGCCGTGGCAACTGCGGGACACCAATTTGGATTTTTGAGGATTTGGAAAGGGAGGATTTGTGTAACTACTCCTCAAAATACATGATGAGTCAGATTCAAATTCATTTGTTACTTATAATTCATACTCGTAGCCACAGAATTTGATTTTAGAAGGTTTTCTCTGAGTGTAATGCAGAGAAGCAAAATCTGAGCCAGGGTAATTATTTAGAAAGCTAATGCAGTAATCTAGGCACTGTTTGAAGGGGTCTTGAACTAGGGTAGTGCTGTAGGATTGCAGAGAAGAGGGGAAATTGGGGAAATTTGGGAGGCAGTATCAGGGGCACTAATACTCGATTTTATATGGGGAATGAGGAAGGGGCCCTGAGCATCTTTAGGAGTAAGTCCAAACTCAGCTTGGCTTATGATTATTTTTTTAGGTTCGTTTCTCACCTTCCGCACCCCCCTCCACACACACCCCGACTTCTAGTCATGCTAAGTAGTTTAGTGTTCTATTTCCTAGAATAATGTCCTCACCTTTATTGTGATGTTAGGCAGGTTCTATCATTTCACTAAGCCCCTCAGTTTTTTCAATCTTAACATGAAAGAAAGTAATAGTACCCACCTCAGGATTGCTGTGGGGATTAAATTAGATAATTTATACTTCTGGTGCGTAGTAAGGACCTAATAAATATTAGCTGCTAGTACTATTCTTATTATACTTCTCGTATTGTTTTGTTATTATACGTTTTGCTGTTTCTTCGTCTAGACCTGAGATTTTTTTAAATTAGAGGGGCAGTATCTTACTTATCTTTATATAGACTTGAAACATTAGTAGTTCGGTCTTTTTAATGTCTCATTCATTTTGGCTGTTGCTGACATAGTTAAATTCATTTTTTACTTTAAAAGAGCTGACAGGTATCATGCATTTTGCTGATCAAATTGTATTTATTAGATAAAAAGATAGCTGTTTTTCTGTACAACTCAGAAGACTGTGGATTAAGATGTACAGAAAGTAACTGATATCTCAGTTTGTAATAGGTATGAGTGATTTCAGTGAAGAATTAAAAGGGCCTGTGACAGATGATGAAGTGGAAACATCTGTGCTCACTGGGGCAGGAATGCATTTTCCTTGGCTTCAAACATACGTAGAAACTGTGGGTAAGTAAAACAGTAACATTGAGCCATTTTAACTTAAAATGTAAGGAGATGGTAAGATTCGATATGGATACAAAATCAATAACCAGGCTGGTTTAATTTTCAAGAGGAATATGTGGAGTGTTTTTAGGCTGTAAGCCAAAAAAAAGTGTTTTTTCTTTTAGAACTCTTTGACTTTGGATTAATAGTAGTCTGTATTATGCTAGATACACATTTTTTCCAGTAATACTTACTGAGCACTTTAATTTCTGGCATTGATTAAATATTGGGGAGTCATAGATGAAGAAGATATGGTCTCTGCCATTGAGGAAAACATGCCCAGGAAGTGTTCAAGAAGTTGCTGTTGAATTGCATTGAAATTATTTCAAATAGAATTGATCACGTAATAGATTTTTTTTTTTTTTTTTGGAGACAGAGTCTTGCTCTGTTGCCCACACTGGAGTGCAGTGGCTAGATCTCGGTTCACTGCAACCTCTGCCTCCCGGGTTCAAGTGATTCTACTCAACCTCCCAAGTAGCTGAGATTACAGGTACCCGCCACCACGCCTGGCTAGTTTTTGTATTTTTAGTAGAGACAGGATTTCACCATGTTGGCCAGGCTGGTCTTGAACTCTTGACCTCAAGTGACGTGCCCTCCTCAGCCTCCCAAAGTGGTGGGATTACAGGTGTGAGTCACTGCACCCGGCCTAGATAAAAGAGCATTTTCCCTCATTTTTATCTAATGTAAATGCAAGCATGTTTTTCTATGGGATAAAATTTCCCCCATTTTTATCTAATATAAATGCAAGTATGTTTTTCTATGGGATAAATTCCCTATAAGAATTTATTTAATATAAGTATAAATAAAAGAAGCTATTATTTGTATGCTGGCATATTGAGTGGTTTACATTTGGGATTACATTTGAACCAGCATTTTACTTACTGCCCTTAAATATGTATTTTTTTTGCCCAGACTTTTTTCCCCTTGACAGAGATTCCTTGGCTCCTAAAATTTCGCTTCCATTTTTTCTTTCAATCTAAGTATCATCTCATTTAATGATCTCAGTAAATTCTCAATAAATTTTTGTGCTAGGCAGTTTAGGTAGGAGGAAACTGAATCTCAAAGACATTAATTTCGTAAGTGGTGGTATCAGAAGTCAAATCCAGGTTTGTCTGATCTCAAAGCCTACACTTTTAACCACTGAGATATATTTTTTAAAATGAGACAATATATGTAAAGTACCTAGCATAGTATCTCATGCATAGTGAGTGTTGAAAAATAATAGTGCCTTTCCTCTCCTCATTTTAGTTTTGCTAGATTAATGCACGTGGCTTAAGGCAGATTTGAATGAATGATACTTCAGAGATAGTGCTACTTCATCCCTGGTAGGGAACTAATAATTTAAATTTCCTATAGTTATATCATACTTGGGTATGTTTCTGTTACCAGTGTTCTATAGAAAGTCTGAGTCAGTGTGCAAGCAGATAGGTTTAAGACCAAAATTTACATGCTTAGAAATATTTTATATGTCATGGATAGCCTGTTAAACCCAAAATACTTTTGGTCTGCAATGAGAAAATACTTGGAAGTAATATTGACATTGTGCTGGTAATTAACCATAATAGGAAAACAAAATTGCCTAACAGTTGCTGTATTTGTTTTTTATGCTGGTAGATATCTTTTGGCATTTTGAAGGGCATGCCCAGCAAGCCCCTTAGAACAAAAACTTTGAAGACAGGGCCAGTCTGGATTGAAGCTGTATGATGAGTACCTGCAGTAGTGCTTGGCACACAGTGGTGCCCAAAAAATATTTGTTGACAGACTGATAAGTTTCCAGATTCTTTGAGTAGCATATTAGAAGTTAGGTTGATGACACTAGTTCTTTATTGTACATCTCTATTCCATGTAAAAATGTATTTTCCTTGACATTTTTTTTTTTCTTAAAGTTACCAGGATCAAGTAAGACTATCTTTTGCTCATTAAAGAATGAAATGAGAAGAGAACTTTTCCTGAGGTAACTAGGCTAGGTTGGAAGACAAAAGTATTTTCCAAGCATTTAGGTATAGTTATCTAAAGTCGATTTGTAGTCTCAGTTGTGAAAGCTTGAGCGATAGAAGGGAGCTTAGCCTGAGAACAGTTCTCTCCTTTAGGTAAATAAAAGATGTTGTAAGGATGAGGTGTTTTGTCAGTTTCCTAGGCTGGCTGGCTGGTATTGCCACCGACACTGAGCAGCTTTGGTGTGGGGATCTTATAAAATGCAGCTTCTGATTCAGAGAGCTGGGCATAGTACTCTGTAGTTGTAATGAGATTCCAGGTGATACTTCTGCTGCATGTTCCAGGACCACACTGAGTAGCACGGGCAGGTCCCCAGGTGATTTGTATGTACATTCAAAAGTCTGAGAACACTAGCGCAGTAGTCTTCAAACTTTTCACTTTTGTATCCCCTACTTTTTTCTGAAAAATTGAGTACTACTTTGCACAGTTTTAAGGAATCATCTGAAAATATTTTATTGTATGTTTAATATTTTCAAGAGATGTAATTTCCAGCACGTTGGTATTTTTAAATGAATATATATTACTTTATATGTGATGGAGTCCAGATAGCATAGGAGTGACATACAGTTTTAATACCTTGCATTATCCATTTAAAAATTAAGAAAAAGTTTTTAATAGATGGAATTTTATGTTCCTTTTTGTTGTACTTCTTGCAATAAAAGTTATGTATCAACATTTATACTTTTTTGTGTTTATATCCTATAAGTTTTAAGAATTAAAACTTTTCTAGGTTGAGACATTGCTATCATTAATAGTTGTACATAGCTGATCAATATAACATGTATTAAAAGTGTTGCTGGCCAGGTGTGGTGGCTCATGCTCATAATCCCAGCACTTTGGGAGGCCAAAAGAAAGGATCACTTGAACCCAGGAGGTCAAGGCTACGGTGAGCTATGATTGTGCTAGTGCGGTCCAGCCTGGGTGACAGAGCAAGACTCTCTCTTTTTCTTTCTTTCTTTTTTTTTTTTTTTAAATAAAGTTATCTAAAACTTTTTCCCAATTTTTTTTTATATATTTGTGGGTGACTTTTATGTATTTCTAGGATGAGAAAAGATTTAGCATTGATTATGCTATTTTTTTTTAACTGACATAAATTCTGAGAAACCTTAGTCACATAAGTAAGAAGATGGCAGTGAATGGAGTTTAATTATAGCCATGCATCAGGTCCTTGAATTTCTTCTAAATTATTCATGAAAAATTACATGATTTATTGTAAAAAATTATGTTTTGATAAGCAAAGAATTGGGAATTGCCTGACTTGCCAAAGGAGATGTTAGAGTTATTTACTTTTTCAACACCTGTGTTTTCACCTTCAGATAATATGTAATGATTTTGATTGTGAAGCTTTGACTATGTAGGCACAGCTGTCTAGGAGATTAACTTGTGGAAAGGGTATGTAAGGAAATCAAAGATCTGCAAGTTAATTGTTTTAAAAGTATCTTTGCAAAGTACCTTTGTGTACTTACTGGAGTACAATTACCCAGCTGGACTAGAGGGGTCTCGTAGTTCTGTGGGAAGAGAAGAAGAGGTAGCAATGTAACTAGTCATTTATATAATAGCCCTGTATCTAAGCCCAAATGTTCTTAACATTGGGATTGCCAATACTTTAGAGATATAAATGTTTATTTTTGCAACTGTTTTAATCTCATTTGTATTTAATATCATTGAGTTACTAGGAATTTGGTCCTTAAAAAATGAAAGCCCACTTGGAGTTTGCAGAACATGGGTAGGTAATAAAGACCATGTTTGCCTAGAATGACCTGGCATTTTACCCATTCTAAATACCTGGGACTGTGCTTTTAGGGGCCTGTTTGAGAGATTCTCCCCAAATTATTTAGCACAAGGATTAAAGGATGATTGAATCAGATTTAAAGGCTCTGGTGACTCCAGTAGCCCCAAAACATCAAATTAGATATTTTTTTATCTGCTAAAAATAATTAATATAATGTAGAAGGGTTTGTTTCAAGTGAAGCTGGCTTTGATACTGGAAATGGGCTGGGTCAAGTAATGCCTACTGTTTACTTGTTAAAACTTCTCATCAGAAGTAAGTTTTTTGAATAGTTGAACTGGAGCCATTGTGGATAAAAACTCTTTTCTTTCTCATTTTTATAGCCATTGGAGGGAAAAGGAAGAAGGATTTTGCTCAGACAACAAGTGCTTGTTTAAGTTTTGTCCAAGAAGCTCTGCTGAAGCACCAATGGCAGCAAGCTGCAGAATACATGTACAGTTATTTTCAGACCTTGGAAGATTCAGATAGCTACAAAAGGCAGGCTGCACCTGAGGTAAACAAAGTTTGAGTTTGCTGGAAGAAATGATAGATTCCCAGAAGTTTCTGCCTCCAGCTTCACCTTCACCTATAGTACCTTTTACAGAATCTCAGTGATTTTGCTAAAAGCTACTAAAACTACTTTTGGGTGGAGAGTTTGTATTGGGACCTTATTTACACACTTCTTTTTACCTGTTATTTTAAAGGAGAATAAAATATTCATTCCAATAATTCTTCCTTTCCCCCCCTCTTTATGGATGTTTCCCATCATCATGTAAAAATTTTGTTACTTTTTTTTTTTTTTTTTTGAGACAGGGTCTTGCTCTGTCGCCAGGCAGGAGTGAAGTAGCACAATCTCAGCTCACTGCAATCTCCACCTCCTGGGTTCAAGAGATTCCCCTGCCTCAGCCTCCTGGGTAGCTGGGACTACAGGCGTGCACCACCACGCCCGGCTAATTTTTTGTATTTTAGTAGAGACAGAGTTTCACCATGTTGGCCAGGATGGTCTCAATCTCTTGACCTCATGATCCGCCCGCCTTGGCCTCCCAAAGTGCTGGGATTACAGGTGTGAGCCACCATGCCCAGCCTATTCTGTCTTAAAATCGTCTCTTGACCCAAACTTCCCCCATTGACTATGCTTCCTAGTTTTACTCTCTTTCAGCAAAACTTCTTGAAAGAGTTGTTCTCTTTTTCCAACCAGAGTGATCTTTTTTTTTTTTAGTTTTATCCAGACATTGTTAATACACCATCATCCATTTAAATTGTACAGTTCAATGTATTTTCATATGTTTACAGAGTTGTGCAGCCAACCATTACCACACTCTAAATTTAGAACCTTTTTTTCTCCCATGAAACCAAAACCCTGTACCCACTTGCAGTCTTTCCCCATCCCTCCTTACAGCTGCCAGACACTGGCAGCCACTAATCTTTACTTTCTTTTTCTTTTTTTGTTTTCTTTTGAGACAGATTCTTGCTCTGTTGCCCAGGCTGGAGTACAGTGGCATGATCTTTGCTCCAGCTCCTGGGTTCAAGTGATTCTTGTACCTCAGCCTCTTGGTTGGCTGGGATTACAGGCATGCACCACCACACCTAGCTAATTTTTTGTATTTTTAGTGAAGACTTGGTTTCAACTCCTGGCCCCTCAAGTGATCTGTCCGCCTCGGCATCCCTAAGGTGCTGGTATTACAAGTGTGAGCCACTGTGCCCAGCCTAATCTATTTTCTATTCTGGACATTTCATATAAGTGGTTCTGTACAATATGTGGCCTTTTGTAAATGGTTTCTTTGACTTGGCATAATGTTTTCATGGTTTATCCATGTTGTAGCATGTATAAGTACTTCATTACTTTTATTGCCAAATAATTTGTCATATGGAAATACCATGTTTTATTTGTCCATTTATCAGCTGTTAGACACTTAGGTTGTTTTTGCTTTTTGATTATTGGAAATAATGCTTCTGCGAACATTTGTGTGCAGGTTTTTGTGTGGACATTTGTTTTAATTTCTCCTGGGTCTACACCTGGGAGTGGAATTGCTGGTCATATGGTAACACTATGTTTAGCCTCTTGAGGAGCTGCCAGACTGTTTTCCAAAGTGGCCATACCATTTATATTCTCACCAGTAATATCTGAGGCTTCTAATTTTTCCAATCCTTGCCAATATTTTGTTATTGTCCTGTCTTACTGGTAATAGTCATCCTTGTGGTTGTGAAGTGGCATCATCCTGACTATGATTTGCATTTCTCTAATGACTAATGATTCAGAGTGAGCTTTTTAAAACATGTCATATCATGTCACTCCTCTGCTGAAAACACTGTAATGGCTTTCCATTTCATTCAGTAGAAGCCAAAGTCATAATTGCCTGTAAATTCCTATATGATGTGCTTACTCCCTTTCCTTGTTTGACCTCTCTGACTTCATCTCCTGAAACAGGTGGAGCATTCCGAATTCAAAAATGTGAAAACCAGAATGCTACAAAATTCAAAGCTTTTTGAGTACTGACATGAGATAGTGACACCGTTGCTTTCTGATGGTTCCATGTATACAAATTTTGTTTTGCGCATAAAATTTCAAGAATATTGTATAAAATTACCTTCAGGCTGTATGTATAGGTGTATAGGAAACATAAGTGAATTTCATGTTTAGCCTTTGGTCCTATCCCCAGTCTCATTATGTATATACAAATATTTAAAAGGCTGAAAAAATTTCAAATCTGAAACATTTCTGGTCCCAACGATTTCAGATAAGGGATACTCAACCTGTATTCTCTTGCTTGTTTTTTCTTTTCCATCCTCATTGGTCTCCTTGTTCTTACTTGAATGGGCCAGGCATATTCCTGACTGATTGCCTTTGCCTTAACCAGTTCTTGGAAAGCTCTTTCTTCAGCTATCACTATAGGTACCTTCCTTCAAGGCCCCTTTTCAATGAGGCCTACCTTGACTATTTAAAATTGCAATTGCCTTACTCCATCTGCAACCTGCACTTTCTGAATGGCACTCCTGATCTCCTTATCCTACTCCATTCTTTTCCCCTAACACTTGACAATTATATTTCTTGGTTATTGTTTGTCTCTCTGCATAGAATGTAAATTTCACAGGGCAGGATTAAAACAGTGCCTGGCATGTACTACTAAATTTCTTCAGTAAAAGACAGTTTACCCACAAATAATTTGACATGAGTGTCTCATAGGTCTTACTGACATAGTCACCATTGCATCAATTAGTTATCTTCTAAAGCAAAAAAAAGAAAGCTGAAAAAAAGTTTAACCATTCATTGAAAATTTAATTTATGGACTTAAGTTACATATACCTGTGAAACATTGGACATGTTACAGCCTCTTCTTGTCCAGATTTTGTTTTGTAAAATGAAGGAATTGGATGAGTGGTTTTTGAGCACTTCTTTGGCTCTATTTGGATCACCGAAGGCTTTCATTGAAAGTATAAATTCCTCTACTCCACACCCCTGTCTTACTGAGTCAGAATATCTTTTTTCTTTTTTTTTTGAGACGGAGTCTCGCTGTGTCACCCAGGCTAGAGTGCAGTGGCGCGACCTCCGCTCACTGCAAGCTCCGCCTCCCGGGTTTACGCCATTCTCCTGCCTCAGCCTCCCAGTAGCTGGGACTACAGGCGCCCGCCACCGCGCCCGGCTGGTTTTTTTTTTGTATTTTTAGTAGAGACGGGGTTTCACGGTGTTAGCCAGGATGGTCTCGATCTCCTGACCTCGTGATCCACCCGCCTCGGCCTCCCAAAGTGCTGGGATTACAGGCTTGAGCCACCGCGCCCGGCTTTTTTTTTTTTTTTTTAGATGGAGTCTCACTCACTCTGTCACCCAGGCTGGAGTGCAGTGGCACGATCTTGGCTCACTGCAAGCTCCACCTCCCGGGTTCACGCCATTCTCCTGCCTCAGCCTCCTGAGTAGCCGGGACTACAGGCGCCTGCCACCACGCCTGGCTAATTTTTCGTATTTTTAGTAGAGATGGGGTTTCACCGTGTTAGCCAGGATGGTCTCCATCTCCTGACCTCGTGATCCGCCTGCCTCAGCCTCCCAAAATGCTGGGATTACAGGTGTGAGCCTGTAATAGAATATCTCTTTTTAACAGGTGTCCCATGTAATTTTGTGTACACTGGGTGTAAGAATAGCTATAATAATCTCGAAGTTTTCTTTTTTTGTTTTTGTTTCTTGCTTTTTTTCCCCCCTGCATTTACCCATCCCTGGTGGTAGGTGATCCAAGACCCAGGTTTTCTTTAAGTTCCCAGATACTACAGTGTGATATTCTACAAATGAAATCTTGATATCTCTGAGTTGGGAAGATGAGGATCATTATACTAAATGATAATATGTGTGTCATATATAATTATACCAGTGATAGTATGTGTATCCACATATAACCAATGTGTATGTTCATAGAAATAATTGATTTATGGTTCAGTTTAATTTACTTTGAAGTTGGTATTATTGTTGTACTTTAAATTGAGGTTAGAGAAATACAGATTTGCTCTCATGAAAAAAGAGCTCCAAGTTCTGCCCCCAAAGTTTTGGTGATCTGAGGATAAAATTTTTTTTATTAAGATTTGTCCATAGCTAATGAAAATTCTTAAATTGGCCTTCTAAATAGAGAAGAAATGTAGTCCATAGTTGTAGAATTTGATGGGCTCTCAGGAAATAGGTAGTTTGTTGCCCTCATTTTGCTGATGATGAAGATGAGGCTGAGAACAACGAAGAAGCCAATATTATTAGAACCCAAATTTTCTGACTTTAATATTCATGCTTCCATGCCAATTAAACATTTTATATGAAATATGTATCTTAACTGCCTTTCTTTAAACTACTAAATTAGTAATGATACTATTATACTATCTGGTATTTTAATAGAAATCTAGAAGGTTGAAACTATCACATAAGGAAGTAGTATTAATTTTACATGGCAAAGTGTAGTAAAATGTTGACGGTGGTGGTCTCTAGGAAAAGGAATCACAGGTTATTAATGTTGTAATCAGGAAAACAATATCTTAGACAGAAACTCAATAAGGCAAAAGTTTTACGTTTTGGCAGTAATTTCTGCTTTGACAGATTATTTGGAAGCTTGGAAGTGAAATTCTATTTTATCATCCCAAAAGCAACATGGAGACTTTCAATACTTTTGCTGACCGGATGAAAAATATTGGCGTCATGAATTATTTAAAGGTGAGAATATGGGCTTTGTGAATTTACCCTTGCGGTATTCTTTTTTCTTTCTTTTTTTTTTTTTTTTTTTATTGCTTGTGTCAGTGATAAGGTAGTTAACCTAAAAAATGTGGGACAAGGATAAGGCATCTGGATAAATAAGAGAAACTGAAAGAAAAAAGCATTATGAGAACCATTTACTTCTTGATTTTCAGTCACCTCCCGTGTTCTCTGACTGAAAATTCCTTTTTTTCTGTATTTCTTCTGGCTGCCAAAATCAGTTATTTAGAGATTGCAGTGGTATGATGATGGGTCAAATTCTGAAATGTTTGCTGAAGTCATTTGAGCTTAGAGTTGGTGTTTAGAAAAAGGAAAGAGCTAAACAAGTTGGGAATTTAAATACGTGAAAATATTTTAGTACTCCTAATGTTTAGGTGGAATCTTGACCTCCAGATTCATATATTCTTTTGTAAAAGTCTTATTGAAAAAGATTGAGATATTTTCAAAATATTGTATCTCCCTCTCTCTGTTTTTGTCTCAAAGGGCACTTTTTCAATACAAGTTTGTAAATGCTTTGCTTTAAAAAAATGTTTTGAGTGTCTACTTTATGTGCCAGGTGCTCTTATGGTTTTGTTCTCTGGTAGACCAGATATACTGTGAGTGGAAATTAAATGGAGGCAGTTTACAGTTCTACTTAAGAAAAGCTTTCTAACTAAACAATTGGAAATGGGAATGGCCTACCCTGACGTGTGCTGTGCATCTATTTTTTCAGGTCTAAACTGGATAGCCATTTGATTGTGGGGAGAGTGTGAAGTTTAAACTGTTGGTTAGGTCCCTTTTGGCTCCTAGAATCTACTCAGTTGAAGTAAAGAAACTGAAAGGGAACCTCATTTCTCAATAAGAGTCTGAGAGTGATAATTAGGATAGATAATAAAACTTTTTTTGTTGTTAATAATTTTTAAAACACTTATTGCCGCTTACCAGGTATTGTTCTAGACATGGTTCTTAATAGTAGAGGAAGATCATGTAAATGGCATTAAGTGTTATGGCTACCATAGTAGAAATGTAACTTATAGTGAGAAGATAAAGGAGAAAATGACCAGTTCTCTGGAACTAGAGAGGGTTAGGATTTAATGGGTAGGGGAATCAGGAAAAGAATGAAAGTGATACTTGAGATAAGTTTGAAAAAGCTGTTGGTTGTTCACTAGGCAGATTAGGGAAAAGCAGCCCTGTGTGGCAGGGGTTATAAAGAGTTCAGAAGCCCTACATCCAATAGTTTAGTTACTCTAAAAATCATTTGGGTAGAAGTCGGAGGAAGTAGGCTGGGCGCTGTGTGCTGCACCCTAGGAACTTGGATTTTAATTCTGTAGTCAGTGGGAGCCATTGAAGGAGTTTATGCAAATAACTAACAAGATGAGATTTCTTTGGTAGCCACTTGAAAGATGAATTGTAGGGAGGCAGGAATGGAGAGGCCAGTTGACAAATTATTGCAGTACTTTGGCTCTACCCATATGATTAATTGTAGTTCTAATTATTCTCCTCTTTAATGTCTTCCCTTCTTGTAATACTCGTTCTTTGTATAATTATTCTTCCTGCTTCTCCTGTATCAGGGATACACTTTCCTTCCCATCTGAACTGAAGTCATTCTTCAACATTCCCTATTAACATATTTTCTCTAAGCTTATATAGCATGTATAAAATAGTAATATTTATTGAATGTCTGCTATGAGCCAAACTATTAGGTGGTTTGCAAGTATTATCTCATTTAATCTTGAAAACACCCTTCTGAAGGGGCAATAATGTTCCCGTAAAACAAATGAGACTTACGAAGGGTGAATAATTTACCCAGGTTTATTTAGTTTTTAAGTGGTGTATTAACCAAGACACTCCATCTTCAAAGCCTCTTTTTTCCTCAGTATATCACACTGTCTTTTGTTTGTAAGTTTACATAATTTAGCTCATATTTGCATAGTGTTAATTGTTTCCTATGTCTTACTTCTTTGCCAGATTGTCCCCAACATCAAAATTTTCAATGTCAGGTTATTTGTATTCTACCAAGGTCTTAGCCCAGCATGTATTATATATTTACTGAGCTTTTTGACTAATGGTTATCAAATGGCTTAAATGGCAGTGTGCCCTTATTATTTTTGCAGATCTCCTTACAACATGCATTATACCTTCTGCATCATGGAATGCTTAAAGATGCTAAGAGAAATCTGAGTGAGGCAGAGACATGGAGACATGGTGAAAACACATCTTCCCGGGGAATATTGATCAACCTTATTCAGGCCTATAAAGGGCTTTTACAATATTACACCTGGTCTAAAAAGAAGATGGAATTGTCAAAGCTTGGTGAGTAAATACAGGTAAACTTTTTCTTGTGATGAGACTGAGGGGCAGAGGGATCTTAAGGAGTAATCTAGTAATTTCCCTATTGACTTCATCCAGATATTACGGTGAACAGACTTTTTATGGATTTAAAATTCTTGATCCTTTATAATACTTCTGATATATAAAAGGCTTCAGTCACAAATTAGATGGTTCATAATTAAGTTCATGATTATTTTAGGTTCGTTGCTGTTTTGAATGTGGTTTAGACAAGGATAAACACAGCCAGACATTAGAGCAGTGAAGACAGGTTTGATTCAGTAACTACTGACAGGAGGAAGAGCTAAGCTCCATTCCAGTTTCTATGGAGGTGACTTGGGGTTGTAAGGGGTGGGGGTGGGGAGGCTAAAAAGCAGAAGGCAGAACCACCAGTAAATTTTTCTGGAGTTTTCCAGGCATGCATTTCAAGAGGGGCTGGCTGGGGTAATCCTGGGGATGTGGCCTTGAGCTGTTAGAAACTATGTTACTGTCTGTTCAAGTTTTTATTGGCCAAGTTTGAGGCCTAGTTCAGAAGAGAGCTTAGAGGAGCCTGGCTGGAGTTTGGTCAAGAAGAAAGTCTTTGCCAATTTCTAAGAAAGGCTATAGGTTTTCTTTAGCAGTCATTATTACATATAATAAACATTTCTTCCTGTGTGCCTAGAATGGAGTTTAATTTATTTTGTAATATTATTATGTTATTTCTCAGAATAATATGTTTAAAGAATACGTCAAAATGGTCATTTCAGTTTTGTATAAAGGTTATAATGGACAATTTCTTGATTTATTGACTATACCAGAAGTTGACCATTCAGTTCGCAAACTGATTTCCCTTCTCTTAACCTTCAGTGCTGTTATCATCTTCATTTATGCCCAGATTTGCATTCATTGGAGCTGTATGATTCTTTGCAAATTGCTTCCTTGTATAGTTTCTCCATAGTCTCTCTAGGATTAACCCCTTCTGTTTTCATTCTCCTCCATATCTTAGTCCTAAGTAAGTAAGACTGCTTAGTCCTAAATACTAGGACTAAGTAAGCAGTATTTCCTTATGTGATAAGTGGTATCTCCTTGGTCTCTGGGCAGGTAGTTTCACTAACTTCGACTCCCTTCCCTCTTCTTTCAAGATACTCTGAAATGCTGTCTTCATCACAATAATTTTGTGAGGTCTTTGTAGAGTCTCCTCATCTAGAATGCTCTCTACTCTTCAAGACTCATTGGATTGCTGTCTCAACCCCTCATTCTTACACCTTAAACTTAATATATCAGCTGCATGTTCAGCCTGAATCATTTGGCTATTCATCTCTTGCTTTCTAATTGTGCTAAGTTTTTTCAGGTGTATTTTATTAGTGTAGATGTCTTCCCATTTAGACTAGTCAGTCTTTGATGTCATATTCCTCTATTTCTTTTGTTAGTCTTGTCATATTTTCTGGTGTAATACTTCTTTTTCAAAAGAGCTTACTCATTGATTAGGTTAGTTTTAAAGTCAATATTTACTTTTCTTCTTACACATGGTTAGGTAAAACCCAAGCAAATATTTGATGATTAAAGCTGTTGGAACATCTCATTTATAATGTTACTTCTGTGGATAGATGATTCAGTACCTTTCCATAGCTGACAGTTATGTAGCAACAATAGATGATGATGGGATAATACGTAGAGGTCTTAGATGATCATTCACCTCAAATGTCTATTTAACGAGGAAAAAAGTTAGGACTAGTTCTTCATAACGAAACTCATAGGCACTTACCGTGTGAGCTTGTATTTGGAGTCAGCTTGGGACTTTCTTGCTGATATGTGTGGCTCTGTCTTGGTTGGGGTTGATGCACTTAGTGACTAGGAACCTCCTTCTATAATAAATTCAAACACGATTTATACACAGGGATCTGCCCCTTTCTCTTTGAGACAGAGTCTTTCTGTCACCCAGGCTGGAGTGCAGTGGTGTGATCACAGCTCATTGCAGCCTCGACCCCCTGGGCTCAAGTGATCCTCCCACTTCAGCCTCCCAAGGACCTGGAACTACAGGTGTGCACCATCATGCCTGACTAATTTTTTTTTGTAAAGATGGGGTCTTACTGTGTTGGCCAGGCTGATCTTGAGCCCCTGGGCTCAAGCATCCTCCTACCTCGGCCTTCCAAACTGCTGGGATTACAGGCGTGAACCACCATGCCCAGCCCTTTTTTAAAAAAATTTTTTCCCATATCATGTCTTACCTACTTTCCTATCACCTCATTTCTAAGTTCATATTGCTATGTATTTAATCGATCTACTGGGAAAAAGATACCAGTGCCTCTGGTTTGCAGTATCTTGTGCTTCTAATAGCTATTTTTGAAAGACTTGAGTAACTTTCCTTGTAAATCTTTAAGATTGAGAAATAGATACAGAAAAAGCATATAAAACAAATGTGAGATATAATGAATAAATTTAAAATGAACATTCACATAACCACCACCCAGATTAAGGAACACAAAATACTGTCACCCTAACCTGAAAGTTCTCCCTGTGTGCCTTCCTGACCACATTTCCTCCCATTCTCTTTCAAGAAAATCCCTGTCCTGACTTACGGTAATCACTCCCTTGTTTTTTTTATACTCTTTCCACTCATGTATACATTTGTAAACAATGTGGTTTAGCTTTGCCTATATCTGAATGCTGTATTTGGAGTCATACTGTATATGTTCTTTTAGGCCTTGCATATTTTGTTCAAAATCAGTTTTAAGATAATACATGTTATTGGATATAGCTCTAATTTTTTCATTTTTATGGTTATAAAATATTTTATTTTATGATAGTCACACTATTCCTTCTATTACTGATGGCCATTTAGGTTATTATTTTGGGCTATTACAATTCTGCTTTGAAATGAACCCCTATTAATTTCTGTATAGCGGTGCACATAAGTATGCATTTCTAGGAGTAGAATTGTCATAGAATATGTTTTGTGCATCTTTAACTTTAGTACATAATATACTAAACTCTTTCCAAAGAGGTTACCAGTTTGTACTTTACTGACAATCTGATTAGAGTTTTCTTTTGTTTGTATTCTCCTCAGCATTTGCTATTGTCAGAGTTTTCATATCAGCCAGTTTGTTGAGTATAGTGATCTCCCATGGTTTTTTTTTCTCTATAGCTTTATTGAGAATTAAGATATAATTCACATACCACACAGATTCACCCACTTAAAATATACAACTCAGTGGTTTTTAGTATATTCATAGAGTTGTAACCATCACTACGATTTTAGAATATTTTCATGACCCTAAAAAGAAACCCTATACTCTCCATTTCTCCCCACCCCTCCAGTCCTAGGCAACCACTAATCTGCTTTCTGCCTCTAGAGATTTGCCTATTCTGGACATTTCATACAAATGGAATCATACAGTATGCGGTCTTCTTTTACTTAGCATAATATGTTTTTGGGTTTTTTTCCCTAACAGAAAATTTTGACAAAGAAAGCATGTTTTTAATGTTATAGCATGTAATGGTACTTCATTTCTATTATTGAATAGAATTCCATTGTGGATACCACATCTTAGGTTCATTCATCAGTTGATGAGCAATTAGATTGTTTCTACTTTTGGCTATTTCGAATAACATTGCTGTGAACATTTATGTACAAGTTTTTGTATGGACATGTGTTTTTATTTCTTTTGGGTATATACCTAAGAGGGAAATTGCTGGGTCATGTAACTCTTAAGTTTATCCTTTTTAAGAACCACTGGACTGTTTTCCAAAGCAACTGCACTGTTTTACATCCCCAGTAGCAGTGTATGAGGGTGCAAATTTCTCCACATCCTCACCAACACTTGTTATTATCTGTCTTTTCCGTTATAGTCATCCTGGTGGGTGTGAAGTGGCATCTTGTAGTTTTTATTTGCATTTTCCTGGGGATTAATGATGTTGAGCATCTTTTCATGTGCTTATGGGCCATTTGTATATCATTTTTGGAGAAATTTTTTTCAGATCTTTTGCTCATATTTTAATTGAGTTACCTGCTTTTAGATTATTGAGTTGTTGTAAGAGTTCTTTAGTTGTTCTAGACAGAATTCTCTTCTCAGATATATCAGATTCATGACTTGGAAATATTTTCACCTTTTCTGTGGGTTTTCACTATCTTTTTATTTTATTTTACTATTATTATTTTTTGAGACAGAGTCTCACTCTGTCACCCAGGCTGGAGTGCAGTGGTGCAATCTCAGCTCACTGCAACCTCTGGCTCCCAGGTTCAAGTGATTCTCCTGCCTCAAGCTTCCCGAGTAGGTGGGATTACAGGTGCCTGCCACCACGCCTGGCTAATTTTTGTATTTTTAGTAGAGATGGGGTTTCACCATGTTGGCCAGGCTGGTTTCAAACCTCTAACCTCAAGTGATCTGTGTACCTCGGCCTCCCAAAGTGTTGGAATTACAGGCTTGAGCCACTGTGCCTGGCCGCCTTTTCACTATCTTGATGGTGTCCTTTGAAGCATAAAAGTATTTCATTTGATGAGGTTTAATTTAACTGTTTTTTCTTTTGTTGCTTGTAGTTTTGGTATCACATCTAAGAAGCTATTGCCTGCTCTAAGGTCACAAAGATTTTTACTTCTTCTGAGAGTTTTAAAGTTTTAGTTCTTATATTTTGGCCTTTGATTTATTTTGAGTTAATTTTTATGAAGTGGGTAGGGGCCCAACTTCATTATTTTGTATGTGGATATCCAGTTGTTGTAGCATTTATTGAAAAGTCTATTATTTTCCCACTGAATTGTCTTGGCACCCTTATTGAAAATTAGTTAGCAGCTGGGAGTAGTGGCCATGCCTGTAATCCTAGCACTTTGGGAGGCCAAGACAGGTAGATTGCATGAGCCCTCAGGAGTTTGAAACCAGCCTGGGCAACATGGTGAAACTGCATTTCTACAAAAAATACAAAAATAGCTGAGTGTGGTGGCATGTGCCTGTAGTCCTGGCTACTTGGGTGGCTGAGGTGAGAGGTTTACTTGAGCGCAAGAGGTAGATTGAGACTGCAGTGAGCTGAAATCATGCCACTGCAGTCCAGCCTGGGAGACAGTGAGGTCCTGTCTTAAACATACACAAAAGAAAATTAGTTACCCATAAATGTGGAGGTTTATTTCTGGACTCTGAATCTTCCATTGATCTACATATGTCTCTCCTTGTACCCATATCATACAGTCTTGATTACTACAGCTTCGTAGTAAATTTTTTTTTTTTTTTTCTGAGACCAGGTCTTATTATGTCGCCCACGCTTGAGTGCAGTGCCATGATCTCAGCTCACTGCAATCTGTGTCTTCCAGGTTCAAGCGATTCTTGTGCCTCAGCCTCCCAAGTAGATGGGACTACAGGCGTGCGCCACCATGCCCAGCTAATTTTTTTGTATTTTTAGTAGAGACAGGGTTTCACCATGTTGGTCAGGCTGGTCTCGAACTCCTGACGTCAGGTGATCCACCCACATCGGCCGCCCAAAGTGCTGGGATTATAGCCATGAGCCACCATGTCTGGCCGTAATCATAGAGTACATTCCCCAACTCTGTCTTTTTTATTCTTCTTTGGTTCCTTGCATTTTCATATGAATTATAGAATCAGCCTCTCAACTTATGCAAAAAGGCCAACTGAGTTTTTGGTAAGAATTACATGTATCTGTAGATCAATTTGACAATAGTAAGTCTTTCAACTAAACATAGAGTGTCTTTTCATTCATTTAGGTCTTTAAAAATTTTTTTCAACAGTATCACTTTTCAGAGTAAAATTTTGCATCTCTTTTGTAAAATTTATACCCATTTTGTTACTTTTGATGCTTTTGCAAATGGCATTGTTTTCCTAATTTTATCTTCTGATTGTTCATTGGAAGTGTATAGACACAGTTGATTATTGTGTATCGATCTTGTACTCTGCAACCTTTGTGAACTCATTTATTAGTTCAGTAAATTTTTAGTGGATTCTTAGGATTTTTCTGTGTACAAGATCATGTCATCTACAAATAGAGATAGTTTCACTTTTTCCTTTCCAATCTTGGATATCTTTTTGTTATGTTCTTGCTTAATTGTCCTGGCTAGAACCACCAATATAATGAACAAAAGTAGTGAGAGAAGACTTATTGTCTTATTCCTGATTTTAGGGGGAAAGCATGCAATCTTTTATCATTCAGTTCAGTGTTAGCTATGAGTTTTTCATAGATGCCCTTTATCAGATTGAGGAAGTTCCTTCTATTCCTACATTGTTGAGTGTTTTTATCATGAAGGGTTATTGTGTTTTTTCAGATGCTTTTTCTGCATCTATTGTGATTATCTTGTGGTTTTGGTCCTGTATTCTTTTGATTTGGTTTAGATCAATAGATCTCTATTTTATTATTTGCATTAATTGATTTTCAGATGTTAAGCCAACCTTGCATTCCTAGTATAGATCCCACTTGGACATGATGTATAATGCTTTTTATATGTTGCTGGACTAAGTTTGCTAATATTTTGTTAAATATTTTTGCAACTATATTCATAAGAGACACTGATCTGTAGTTTTATTGTGTTGTCTTTGTTTGGTTTTGGTATCATGGTAATACTGGCTTAGAATAAGTTAGAAAGTATTCTCTTCTGTCCTTTTTTGGGAGAATTTGTGAAGAATTAGTATTTTCCTTTAAATATTTGTTGAAATTTACCGTTGTAGCTATCAGGAGCTGAGTTTTTCTCGCGGGTAGCTTTTTAAATTACTACTTTAATAGAAGTCCTCAATATTTAATGAATGTTAAAAAACCTTTTATCTTTGGGCAGATAAGGATGATTATGCTTACAACGCAGTAGCCCAGGATGTGTTCAACCACAGCTGGAAGACATCTGCAAATATTTCTGCATTGATTAAAATTCCTGGAGTTTGGGACCCTTTTGTGAAGAGTTATGTAGAAGTAAGTAGAATTTTCATAAAATGTATTGGTTTTATTTTGTCAAAAGCCTTTACAAAGACTCCATGCCTAATCTTTATTAATCAGAAAGAAACTAATGGAAAAAATTATTTAAAAGGAAACAAAAATATTATGTCTCGTTTTTGGTCTGAATTTGTTTATTTTCACCACTGTATAACCCATCATGGCCAAGTATCTATAAAATAAATAGCAGTATAGTTGTAAATGTTAATTCAATCTTATTCTTGTTGAGTTTAAAAGAAACACAGTAAGATATTTTATGATTTGGTGGGATATAGAAGGAAAGAGGACAAAAATCTGAAAAAGTGGGTCATAATATATGAGATAAAGAATGATGACTTTTTGGAAGTTCGTAAGAATGTCCTGTCATCCCAGAGTCGTCGTAAAAGGACTGAGGGCCTTGGTGCTAGGCACTAGGAATAATAAATAATTTGCTTTGTGAAAGTTATTGAGTGGCGAATTGATAATTGTGTTGTCAGAAGATAATCTCCAAAATCATAACCTGGAAATTCCTGTGTAAGGATGGGAACAGAATGAAAGCAACTACAATTCTTGTGCACTCCTTTTGTGGCTGCAGTGATGTAGGGCACTGAGGTTAGTTGCATCACATTTTCAAGCATTAGTGTTCCCTGCTTTGAGGACTCTTATTTTTTATAGGAAGAGAATTTATGTTGAGGTGGCTGCATTTTTTATTAGTAGTAACAAAATATAGGGAAAAAATGGGAACCCTGTCAGTTTTGTGATTTTTAAAAAATACCCATTGGTAAACTTATGCTGTGTATTATCTTTCATACAGCTGTCTTACAGAATTCAGCTAAGGTATTATGATTTATTTTATATAGATGCTGGAATTCTATGGGGATCGAGATGGAGCCCAAGAGGTACTCACTAATTATGCATATGATGAAAAGTTTCCATCAAATCCAAATGCCCATATCTACTTATACAACTTTCTAAAGAGACAGAAGGCACCAAGATCAAAAATGATAAGTGTGCTTAAGGTATAGAATTTTTATCTCAATGTTTGAACAGGGTTGGGAATCTACATTAAAACATTCTTAGGCCATTGCTTTCTAACTTTTATAGCATCCACAGAAAATGACAATAATGTACAGTACACTGAGATAAACAGAAAGTTGGCTCCAGCTGCCATCTCCATGTATGTATCATTCACACTATCCCCTGCTGCCTGGGTGAGACTGAGGAGAGAGGATCAGAAGTCTTGTTCAAACCTGGTTGGAATACTCTGCACTGATATTTTTTGAAAATCAATTTTATTGAAATTTAATTTTCAGAGAGTAAACACACTTATTTTAAGTATATGCTTAGATGCATTACATTCATGAACCACCATTCTAATCAAGATAAGAGAACATTTCTGTGACCCCGGAATGCCTTTCATTTCCCTTTGCCCCATACCCATGGCCCCAGACAATCACTCATCTGCTTATTATCACTATAGATTAATTTTTATCTCTTCTAGAATTTCATATAAATGGACTCTTATGTAGTCATTTTAATATGGCTTCTCTTGCTCAGCATAACATATTTGAGATGCATCCATGTTATTGTGTATATTAGTAATTTGTTATTGCTGAATAGTATTTCATTTTTATACATTCACTTGATGGACCTTTGAGTAATTTTTTACTTTTTGGCTATTGTGAATGATGCTGCTGAGAAAATTCATGTACAAGATTGTGTATACACATATATTTTCATGTTTCTTGGGTAGCTACCTGAGAGAGGAGTTGCTGCCTAAGAGTAGTAAGGAAAGTATGTGCCTAACTTCTTAAGAAACTGCCCAACTGTTTTCTGAAGTGACTCTACCATTGACATTCACACATCAATATGAAAATTCAGTTTCTTCACATCTGTGCCAACACTTGGTATTGAGGTCTTTTGAATAATAGTCTCTTGTGGGTGTATATAGTGGTGTCTCACGTGGCATTAAATTGTATTTCCCTAATGACTGATGATGTCGAGCATCTTTTAATATGTCTATTGGCCATTCCTATATCTTCTTTTGTCAAGTGTTCAACTACTTAGTCTATTTTTGGGGGGATCAATTGTCTTCTTACTGATGGAAATTTTTATATAATCTGGATATAAGTCCTTTGTGAAGAATATTAATTATGAATATTTTCTCTCTGTGCCTTGCCTTTTGGTTTCCTTAATAGTATCTTTCAAAGAGTAGAAACTTCTAATTTTGATGTTCAGTTTATACATTTTTTTTCTTTTATGGTTAGTGCTTTTTGTCTAAGAAATCTTTGCCTATCTCAAGATAATAAAGGCTCTCTTCTTTTTTTTTTTTTTCTAGATGTGTTATATAGTTTTATGTTTAGGTCATGGTAGATTTTTAGCTATTTTTTTGTGGATAGTGTGCGGCAAAGATCAAGGTTTATTTTTTCCCATATGGTTGTTCCAGCATTATATTGAAGACTCTCCTTTCTCCATTTAGTACCTTTGGAACTTTGTTGAAAACCAGTAGGCTGTATATGAAGTCTGTTGTGTTCTAGTGATGTATATTTCCACATCGATATATGAAAACTCAGTTTCTTCACATCCTTGCCAGTAGTTGGTATTGTAGGTCTTTTAAATTTGAATTATTGCCATTCTAGTGAGTGTGTAGAAATATCTCATATGGCCTTAACATGATTACTGAAGCTCTGTAGCAAGTCTTGGAATCATATCATGAAAGTCATACAAATTTGTTCTTTTTCAAAATTGCTTTTGGCTTTTCTAGGTTCTTTAACTTTCCATGTATATTGTATAATCAATTTATCTGTTGCTACAAAAAGGTCTTGCTGAGATTTTGAATCGATAGATCAGTTTGAGAGAATTGACATCTCAACAGTATTGAGGTTTCCAAAGTGTAAACATGGCATGTCTCTCCATTTATTTAGGTTTTTAATATCTCTGAACTGTTTTGTAGTTTTTAGTGTATGTCTTTTGTTAAATTTGTCGCTAAGTGTTTCATGGGGTGGTTGTACATAATGTTGCTTAACATTTTAAATTGTGGGAAAATATATACAAAAATAAATGTTACCATTTTGATCATTTTTAAAGCACATAATTTAGTGGCATTAAGTACATTCATTCAGTTTTGTGCAACCACCATCACTGTCTATTTCCAGAATGTTTTCATTATCCCAAGTAGAAACTATTCATTAAACAGTAACTCATTGCCCACTCTTCCCAGCCCCTGAAAACCTCTATGTTAATTTCCATCTTTGTGAATCTGATTATTTTAGTACCTCATATAAGTGGAATCATATAACATTTGTCCTTTTGTGTCTTGCTAATTTCACTTAGCATGATGTTTTCAAGGTTCATGTTGTAGCATATATCAGAATGGCCATTTTTATTTAAGGTTGAATAATATTCCATTTTATATACCCACAACATTTTGCTTATCTATTCATTTTTTGGTAGACAATTGGGTTGTGTTTGTTGTTTGGCTATTATAAATAATACTGCTCTAAAGATTAGTGTACAGGTATTTGTTTGAGTCCCTGCTTTCACTTCTTTTGGGTGTGTACTTAGGAGTGAAATTGCTGGATTATATGGTAATTCTTTAACTTTTTGAGGAATTGTCAAACTGTTTTCCACAGCAGCTACACATTTTACATTCCCACCAGCAATTCCACATCCTGGCTAACAGCTTCTATTCTCCATCCCCTTTTTTGATCATTGATATCCTAGGACAGGGATCCCCAACCCCTGGGTCATGGACCATTATGACCAGTATCTGTGGCCTGTTAGGAACCAGGCCACACAGTAGAAGGTGAGTGGCAGGCAAGTGAGCATTACCTGAGGTCTGCCTCCTGTCAGATCAGCGGTGGCATTAGATTCTCATAGGAGCCCGAACCGTATTGTGAACTGCACATGCGAGGGATCTAGGTTGTATGCTCCTTATGAGAATTTAATGCCTGATGATCTGTCACTGTCTCCCATCACCCCCAGATGGGATCATCCAGTTGCAGGAAAGCGAGGGCTCCCACTGATTCTACATTATGGTGAGTTGTATAATTATTTCATTATATATTATAATGTAATAACATAAAGTGCACAGTAAATGTAAAGTGCATAAATAATGCAATCCTGAAACCATCCTCGACCCTCACCCTGGTCCGTGGGAAAATTATCTTCCACGAAACCAGTACCTGGTGCCAAAAAGGTTGGGGACCGCTATCCTAGTGGGTGTGAAGTGGTCTCTGTGCCTGATTGTGGTTTTGGTTTGCATTTCCCTAATGTCTAGTGATGTGTATCTTTTCATGTGCTTATTGGCCATTTGTTTATCATCTTTGGCAAATGTCTGTTCAAGTCCTCTGCCCTTTTATCAATTGGGTTGTTTGGTTTTTGTTGTTAAAGTATAGGAATTATTTGTATATTTTGTGTTCAGTTTTTAATAATGGCATTTTAGGGATGAAAGACAAAGGTCCTTTTCAACCTAAAGAAATGATAGAGAAAAGTTCTTCTCTCTGTTTTCTTTTAAAAGGCTGATTATCTTTATACTTTTCATGATCAAAATTGGCATTATCAAACCTTCAGATGTGAAAACTATGTTTTATAAATTTTTCAACAGGCTTTGTTTTACTAAATAATCCTTTGCTGCTGCTGTTGTTTGAAACAGGGTCTCACTCTGTTGCCCAAGCTGGAGTGCGGTGGCATGAACACGTGAGGCTCACTGTAGCCTCCACCTCCCTGGCTCAGGTGATTCTGCCACCTCAGCCCCTCGAGTAGCTGGGACTACAGGCACATGCCACCATGCCTGGCTAATTTTTTGTATATTTGGAGAGACGGGCTTTTGCTATGTTGCCCAGGCTGGACTAAACAATACCTTTGAAGTTGCTATTTTTATTTTACTCTGTTAAGATAGCTTTTGGCTCATTTATATTAAAAAATATTAAGGATTGTGTTTAAAACAAAAGCAAGACTGTGCTTTCATTCAGGTTATCAATCACTAATGGTGTTTTTGAAAAGATTTTAAAAAATGCTACAGAAAATAACTGTTGAATACTTATCTCATTTATATTCAAGACAAGATAGATTTAGAGAAATTCTGTTTTTCCTTTTGAAAAATACAGTATTTGGAATTAAAATCTCAATACATGGGTTTAATAGCAGATTGAACATAGCAAAAGAGAGGATTAATGAACTGCACAGAAAATACCAGGCTAAACCATGGAGAACAAAAAGGATGAAAGGTGCAGAAACGAGCATACAAATGAATTGGTGAAAAGATCTGACATATTTGTCATTGGAGTCCGAGGTGGAGTACCTCTGAATAGAACAGGGCAAAAGCAAGCAAACTAATTTTTTAAAAACCCTAACATTTGAAGGGCTCATGACTAAGAAATTTTCAAAACTAATGGAGGATTTCTAGCGTTCTGGTGATGTGCTATTATTTGACCTGGGTGCTGGTTACCTGAGTGTTTAACTTTGTGAAAACTGGATGCCATGATTTGTATACACTACTGCTACCTGTTATATTTCAATAAAAAAAAAAAAGTGAATTGAGCCATAAACAGAATTCTATAAAATCATGAGACAAATGTGGCTTTCACAGGAACCGAATTTCAATAATATTCTCTGATATTGGTGTATTGATCTTGATTGATCTTTTTAAAAATGATTAATAGAAATTAACAAAATTTACTTTTAATTTTGTTGGAAATTATTTCAATGTAAGGTCAAAGTACTTCAGTAAGCAGAATGAATTCATTTCTAGAATTAAATGTATTAAAATGAAAAATACAGTATTATTTTAAATTCCATTTTTTGAATATTCATAAAAATAGTTCTTCCTGTTTTTTAAAAGAGAAATTTTTTCATTGTGTGAAAGTTTGTTAAAATATTTACTCATATACCCTTAGTAAACTGTTCCTGAGCACAATCTGTGAAATTAACTCCCAGCCTTTTTAGTTTTTTTGCTTTATATAAATATTCTGTGATCTCTTCTGTTTAGTAAATAAGTATATTTTCTCTGTGGTAATTGATTTTTTTCTTTTTTTCCTTCAGTCTTGGCTTCTGAAATAAATTGTTTTAAGTTGTTGAGCATGGTAAACAATATAGATGTATATAAGGAGCAAATAAAAAGTCCCTGCCTATTTCCCTCGATTCTCCTGACTGTCTTGTTAGCAGGGACTTTAAAAAAAAAACAAAAAAAAAACCAGCTTTACAGAGAATACTTTTCTATACTTAGATTGAAACTAGATAAAAAGCAAGGTAGTTTAAAAATAATAAACTTATGGAGAGCATATTAGATAGTAAAAACTTTATTTTGAAAGTAAGCTGAAATCTGAGAAATGCTTTTACAAGTATGTAAAAATTACAAGACTGTTCTTTCTTTCAGATTTTGTATCAGATTGTACCATCTCATAAATTGATGTTGGAATTCCATACATTACTTAGAAAATCAGGTAATAAATAAATTTTGTTTTTTACCTTGTGTAGACAAGCTATAGACTAGGGACCAGGAAACTATGGCCCATCAGCTAAATCCACCCCTTGCCTGATTTTATAAATCAAGTTCTGTTGATGTCCATCTGTTTATGTATTGCCTGCGGCTACTTTTGCACTATAGTGACAGAACTGTGTAGTTGTGACAGAGACTGTATGCCTTGCAAAGCTTAAAATATTTACTATCTGGGCCGTTATAGAAAAAGTTTGCCTACTCCTGTCATACAAGGTAAAGGCAGTAGTTTGCAAAAGAGAAATGGCTCGATTTTATATAATTCACTCCATTTTAATCCCTACTAGATTTCAGCACACCATAGAAGGAAATAAGTTGGCTAAGCCCAAAGTTGTCCTAGGACTGCCTGGGTTCCTCTCTGAATATAAAAGAACATGTATAAAATGCCCAAACAGGGCAGGTACTTTAAGTAATGTTCTCAGTAGAGGATTGTAACCCACATTGAGATCAGACTCACCACCTTACCTCATTAGCAGGAATTTTTATTGAGTTTTTCAGATTCATTGCAGGAGTAAAAGCATAATGAATTTTTAAAAACTGTTAACCAGAAGGCTTATGATTCAATATTTTATCAACAACATATATGTAAAGTATATATACAGTTGATAAAATATATACATGTATATTTTAGCTTTGTACATTTCAATACCTTATGTAAACTTGAATTGTTACAACCATTGCAGAAAAAGAAGAACACCATAAACTGGGGTTGGAGGTATTATTTGGAGTCTTAGATTTTGCCGGATGCACTAAGAATATAACTGCTTGGAAATACTTGGCAAAATATCTGAAAAAGACCTTAATGGGGTAAGAAACATACAGTATTTATTACTAGGTCATCATAAATAATATTTCCCAATATTTTAGCTAATATCTGTCAATTTTTAAAGATCTTTACTTATGTTTTTGGATTTTTTTGAACTGTGTCTTTAGCTATTTTCTGAGTACATTTTCTTCTGAAGCAAAGAAATACAGAGTCATAAGGGGAACATACAAAAATTCTATCAATTTTTTTTATGCCATCAAAATAAATCCTGTGCTTAGCACTGCTGCTTGCTAAGGACTACGTCTGTGTTTTCCAGTTGGAAATAAAGACTAGCAGGGATCACTCTTTGCTAATGACTCGTGATTTGTGCGTCATTAACTAGTAAGATCACATGGGAAGCAGCTTTCCTCCTACCTGTGTTTGATCATTTTTTCAGTGAGTATTTTTAGGACCTCACAAGATCATCATACACTATTCATTCAACAAGTACTCATTAAATCCATTGTGACCTGGGTATCTAAAAGTGTACCTCTGATTATAATATTATTAGTGTCATATTTTGAGTAAAGGAAAATGAATTTCCTGTTATTTTTACTTAGTGTGTGAGAAGAAGGGATATCACAAAATGTTTCATATATTTATTATATCCAGTTTAGTTGTTAGGCAATTCAGTATCAGTTGGAACTTGTTTCAGGCTTCAGATCTGACTTGTCTTGATGGGACAGTGCTGTTTATAAAATGGTTTTGGTGTCGTATGTTGACGCACTCACTGTAAACCATTTTCTAAATCTCAAGCACTGAATAAACTACTAGATTATAAGGTCCTTGAAAGCAAAGAGGCTCATTTTTTCGAACTGCTGTTTGTTCTACCATAGGGGGCACATGGGTGCCAATAAGCATTTGCTCAATTAAATTATAGAGATCTAATGTGCAACACAGACTGTAGTTAATATTGTATTGCGTATAGGAAATTTACTATGAGTAGAGTTCAGGTGTTCCCACCACACAAAAAAGTTTATGTATATAAAACATGTTGTATATCTTAAATATATGCAATGAATAAATTATTCACTGACACATAGAATTGCCTGCACTTAACAGTTTAACCTATTTGTTCATGTATTTGTATAATAAGGGCATCTTAATTTGGATAGTCATTCATGGCAGCATATAATTTTAAAGAAGCTTTTACTTAAGTAATAGTAATAGATAATGTTGACTGAATATTTACTATGTACCAGACACTATGGGAAGAGCTTTATATAAGACCTGCTGTACCCTACTACTGGAATAGTTTAATCTTAATAACAGTCCTATGAGATCAGTACTGCTAATGTCCTCAACGGCACTGAAGCTCAGAGAGGTTCAGCAACTTGCCCAGGATCACATACATAGTAAATGGAAGAGCTGACATTTGAATCCAGGAGTCTGGCTTTGAGTCTTAGCACAGACTCGAAGACACTGTGCTAAACTGTCTGTTTAGTGAAATGGAAAATGGGATATGAAGATAGAAGAGAACAAAAAAGGATTTGCTTTCCTGATGTTGCCAATCATGTGTTATACCTTGGCCATATTCAGAATTTAGCTTGGAAACATCTTCCTTGTCATCTTTCTGTAGACTCTAAGTCTAAATTCTGGTAATACAGATTTGTTCACATCATTGACCCTCTCTTTTGACATTTGTCTTTTCCAGAAACCACCTTGCGTGGGTTCAAGACGAGTGGAACTCCAGGAAAAACTGGTGGCCAAGCTTTCATTTCAGCTACTTTTGGGCAAAAAGTGATTGGAAGGAAGATACAGCTTTGGCCTGTGAGAAAGCTTTTGTGGCTGGATTACTGTTAGGAAAAGGTACATGTTTTTGTTTTCGTTTTATCTAGACATAGCTTTTGGCTGATTTTGGAATAATTCATTTAGAGCTTACCTAATGTGGTACCTAAAAATACTAGGTGCTTAAGACGTAACTGCTTAATGGAAGAGTGAATCCTGAGTTGGGACCAGGTCACGTGCTTAGATTAGAAGCAGTGATTTCATATCATTGATTATGAATGGTTTTCGTCTCCTGACTTGAGTGTTGTTAGGGGGCATTAAGATACATGATACAAACTTTTCACAAGAAATGACCATTTAGCCTTGTTTTATAGAAAGTTTACTGATATTTTCAGGTATCAAAATATTCTTTATTGACCTCACTGTTCTTTAATAGCTTCATATTATACCAATATTTACTTGTCTATTTCTGTAAGCACGAAACATTTCCTCCACTTAAGAAAAAGAATACCTTCTACTAGCATATGAAAAAAATTATCTTCAAAGAAAAGGAATATTGATTTTTTCTTCAAAGAAAAGAAATATTTTGGGTGGTAAAACTCTTACCTGCTTTCTACCACTGAAATATTGAAAAGGTGGCCAGTACCGAAATGAAACTATCACAGAGTATGTCCAGAAATGAAGAAAATAAATCTTACAATGACCACTAGTAAGCAGTCCATTGCTAGGGAGCTTAAGGTGTCCTGAAGAGATTCTCCAATTCATTTTTGAATATAGTTTCTGTTATTTTGGAATTAGTAGTCTCAGTGAATGTAATAAAATGTTGATTAAGAAGAAAATAAAAATTCTCTAATACACTGATGACAAGGAACAGAAAGGTGATTTGGATTGTCATTTTTCTACTACTTTATGAGTAGAGAGGCATCTAGCACAATTATCAACAGGTCTCTTTGAGCAGAGTAGAAGGATCTGGGTTACGGGAGGTGGAGGTTGCAGTGAGCCAAGAACATGCTACTGCACTCCAGCCTGGGCGACAGAGCGAGACTCCTTCAAAAAAAAAAAAAAAAAAAAAGGAAAGATCTGGGTTAATTTTCCAATTCTCTCACTCACTTGCTATGTAACTTAGATCAAGCAATTAACTTTTAGGAGCCTTTTCTGTGAAGTGGGCATTGTAACACTCGTCTTATTGTTGTAAGTATCATGTGAACATCGCATCAAAGTGCTTCGTAATTTCTAAAGTGCTCTACAAATATGAGGCATCAGTTACTCCCGCAAGAGCCACATCTCCTCTCAGGCTGTTAGTGTGGGGTTAAATGAGTCTATTCATTAGTGAAGCTGGGCTGGCTTCTTGCTCTGGTTACCAACCTTACTTTATAGGATTCAAATTCTAGGCATGGTCTGCCTTTGCTTTGTACTTAGAGTGGGGTATGATGGCTCTCTTTCTTTCCATGTCTCGCTAAAAGCAAGCCAGGCCCATTTCTCCTTGGAGGGGCCTTTCTTTGTTGGGATTGAAGCTACTTGGTTGCCCTGTGACTTCAGCTCTCATGGACTTGAGAGTTAATATTTGTAGTTTTTAAAGCTTTTTCTCTATGTTAGGGTGGGAACGAAGTTCTTTCCAGCTTTCTATATAGGTACAGGCAAAAATTTGTGTGCAGAATATTTTGTTTTTTACTAAGGTAGTATGATATGTTTAGAAACACAAATTATTTTGGTGATACTACTAGTAAAATGTTACTAGCTGGGTGTAGTGGCATGCAGTGCGCCTGTAATCCTGGCTACTTGGGAGGCTGAGGTGGGAGGATTGGTTGAACCCAGGAGTTTGAGACCAGTTTGTGTCACATAGTGAGACCCCATCTCAGGAAAAACAACAAAACAAAAATGTTAGCAATTCTGGCATACTAGTTTCAGGAATAATAAAAAATGGTTACTATAGATACAGTATATGTCCTTGCATTTTCTCAGGTAAGATGGATGCATACAAGCTGAAACTGTAATGAAATTAATTTTTCTTATGTGATTTATGGTCTTATTCATTTACCAACTCTAAAAATCCTCAATATCCAGTTTACGTTTTTCTTACGGAAATATGATTCATTTGTCTGAAATATTTGACAAATGCTTGACAGTCCTGTGTGTTGTAAGACTATGAAGAGCAGGTGGAACTTCTAATGAGCACGAGGCCCCTCTGTCAGAGCTACGTGGTCTCCACCTTGCTGCTCGCTACATGGCTAGAATGAATAGATAATGTTTGACCATTTCTAACCCATGTTTTGTTTATTCTAATCCTTCACACAAAGATTTTCTACAGAGAACTTTCTTACTGTTATGAATGTAACTTTGACTGATTTACAAGCTAACATTGAGAAGGAAGCTGTACAAATGTGCTTTTGCAGAAGGCTCATTTAATATGTGACTGTATATAATATACCTATCACCATCACTAGGGTGTAGGAGGAAGGGTAGAAAACAAGCTAAAGTCTGTGCTTTAATTATGATGGATTACAAACATCTTTGTGTATGGGAAGAAATATATTTCATTGGGCACAGTTGAGAATATACTTTCGCCATATTGGTAATGCAAATACATTTTGTATATAGGAAGAAATATATTTCATGGGGCACAGCTGAGAATATGCTTAGGACATATTGATAATACAAATAAATCTATTTTCATAGTCATTAGTGTGCTAAACTTAAAGCAAAAATTTAAAAATGTAGAAATATACTTGAAAAATGTGAAAATGTGATGAGTATTAAAACTTTTTATTTTGCTTTACTTTTTAGGTTGTAGATATTTTCGGTATATTTTAAAGCAAGATCACCAAATCTTAGGGAAGAAAATTAAGCAGATGAAGAGATCTGTGAAAAAATACAGTATTGTAAATCCAAGACTCTCATACTGAATTTTAGTTATTTCACAGTAGTAGCTACACAGTAAGTAGCTCAGCAGATAGTTATTGAATATGTTTATGGAGTTATGTGTTATGTATTAAGAAGCTTATATTACTACAAAAAACTTATTTTTATATATTTTTATATTTTTGTATTATTTATAGCTAGAGAAACAGTATTACTGCCTTTGCTCTTTGTAACTTTGTCTGTTTTCTTTTTTGTAATGTTAAATGTTACATTTGTTAAAGAATAATTCTTCAAATGACAAAATATTAGAGAATATAGTTCTACAGCAGTTATTGTTTGCAAATACTTTGCCTCTGGCTATTGTGTAATAAACTATAACTTGTGGTGCTGTGAAATGAATTTATATTCTTTATATTCTAATTAATCAATTTTAGGTATACCACCATGAAGAAATATATTGGTGATGAGTTCTGTTGAGGAATTTTGAAAAGAGAGAAGGATTTAGAAAACACTCTTTCTCGGCCAGGTGCGGTGGCTCATGCCTATAATCCGAGCACTTTGGGAGGCCTAGTTGGGTGGATCATGAGGTCAGGAGTTTGAGAACAGCCTGGCTAACACAGTGAAACCCTGTGTCTACTAAAAATACAAAAATTAGCTGGGCGTGGTGGCAGGCACTTGTAATCCCAGCTACTCAGGAGGCTGAGGCAGGAGAATCGATTGGGCGGAGGTTGCAGTGAGCCAAGATCGCGCCACTGCACTCCTGCCTGGGCAACAGAACTAAACTCTGTCTCAAACAGAAAAAAAAAAAGAAAAGAAACTCTTCTTTTTCAGTATAAAGACATGACAGTTTGGGGCAAAATAACCTCCTGCTAGAGAGAGACCTTTTGCTCTAGAGGACTAATTTGGGTTGTAGCAATAGGGAGGGCTCGCTCTTTTCAGTTGGCATTGGCCTCACTTCAAAAGGCTCTCGGCTTTTTGGTGCCTGGCACAGCAGTCTAAGATCGCGAGGTCAAGAGATTGAGACCATCCTGGCCAACATGGTGAAACCCTTTCTCTACTAAAAATACCAAAAAAAAAATTAGTCTTGGTGGTGTGCACCTGTAGTCCTAGCTATTCAGGAGGCTGAGGCAGGAGAATTGCTTGAACCTGGGAGGTGGAGGCTGCAGCGAGCTGAGATAGTGTCACTGCACTCCAGCCTGGCAACAGAGTGAGACTCCGTCTCGGAGAAAAAGAACTCATGCGTCCCCTCTCCTTTTTCTCTTGGAAACTAGGATGCAGCGGTATGTAGCTGGACAGTGGAGGAAACTCGCCAGTGGAATAGTATCCCTGAGTCACACAGTAAACCCACTGGGAAAACCTAGCCAGAAGCCAACAGCAAGTTTCCTGGTTTATGGGCTGAGCTTTATAATATGTTGGGATAGTTGGTAGAATAAGTGCTTCTTCAGAAATGTCAGCTTTTACATTTACTGCTGGGATAACTAGTAATTGAGTTCCATGAAAACTCACTAACTTCAGAGCAAGTCTAATAGTTAGATGGTGAGACACATGTTTCCCATTGGCTTATATTCCTACTAATTCTAAACCATCAAGAAGATTAGGGAACAAATTGTGCTTTGTGAATAGTTGATATTTCAATATTACTTCGTAAGAAAGGTCTATCAATAAAGAAGTACTTAGAAAGTACATGTAAAATGAGTAGGCATTCCACAGAGCCAAAATAAACCAAGTTTAACTTTTAACATAAATAGGGTAGCTTTACTGCTGTGAGTCCATGATTCGGTTGTGTAGGAGTTCTGTATAAGACTAATACTCTAGCAGTGAAATTCCCAAAGTATGTGGAAAACATCTGAAAGCATAGGCCAAGATCTGCTTCCTGAAACTTTCCGTCAAAAGCAATAAAATAGGATTATGATTTCTTTTGATCTCTAAGAAAATGGAGGTGAGAATAAAGAAATGAGTAGATATGTTCTTGGTTTCCATACAAAGCTGTCTCAACATTTTTACATCAAATGTTCTTATCTAATTGTTAGTGCAATTCACCTGTGAAACTTTTTTTAGGTCCACTGATGTTTAAGCTGCTTCCATGAATAACAGTAATAGCTAAAATTCATCAAGTACTTTGGGCTTTACCTTTCATTGTAAAACCACCACAGTCCTGTGAATTATCCCTATTTTACCAATAAAGAAAATGAGGTCATTGGAGATGAAGTAACTTGCCAAGGTCACAGCTCATAGGTGTTGGCACCAGGATGCTAACCCAATCAATGTGGTTCCAAAGATCACACTCTCACATAGTATCTGTATGGCCTCCCAGTGCAGTCAGTGTTGACTACATGCCGAGCGCTGAGCCAGGTGGAGTGAGACAAAGCAGCAAAGGTAAGAACCCAGGTCTGCTCATTTCTGCCTGCCAGCGTCATTTCACAAAGCCCCTGACCCTGTGACGACATGCAACTCTCTGGAAAGATGCCTTGAAGACAAAACAGCATAAAGCACAGGGCACCCCTACGTCTCTTGCCTGAGTCACTATATTCCTTAAGTGACCCCAGTCCTTGCCTTTTCCTACACATGAGATAAAGTCTGATAGGATTAGTGATTATGCTTCTGTAATCCATAACCAGATGTACTCTTACACCTAAACCTTGATGAGATTCTGCTTGAATGTAACTTTTGAGCAAGTTTGATGTGATTTTGATCTACATGAACCCTACCACCTGTATATAAGCAGTGAGCTGAAATACTGTGCTGGAACAGTCTGACAGGACTGCTTGCTTATATGGTTGCTACTTATAACTATTCATCACTACTACTTTAAGACACTTTAGCAGTAACTAAATACAGATAATTTAAAGTCTTGTTTTCTCCTTGAAACCTCTGAACCTCTGAAATAGATTTAGGATGTACAACCTGATGTTTTGATATGCATTCTGAAATGATCACTACAGTCAAGCTAATTAATATCTTCATTATCTCTACATAATTACCATTGTGTATGTATTGTGTATGTATGTGTGATGAGAAGATTTAAGATCTTCTTAACATATTACAAGTATGTAATACAGTACTGAGCTGTCATCACCGTGCTGTACATTGGATCTCCAGAAATCATCTTGTATCACTGAAACTTTGTACCATTTGACCAATATCACTCCATTTCCCCCTTCCCTCAGCCCCTGGCAACCATCTTACCCTCTGCTTCTATGGATTTGACTCAGATTTCACATACAAGTGAGATGATCATGCAGTATTTCTCTTTCTGTGGTCTTGCCTATTTTAATTTTGCTCAGCATAATGTCCTTCATGTTCCGAATGGCAGGATTTCTTCCTTTGATAAGGCTGAGCAATATTTAATTGTATTTTTATAAACCCTATCTTTATTCATCTGCCAAAGGACATTGAGTAATGCTGCAATGAACATAGGAGTGCAGATATCTCTTTGCAATCTTGATTTCAATTCCTTTGGGTATATACCCAGAATTTTCTATTTTCAATTTTTTGGGGGAACCTCCATATTGTTTTCCATAATTTACATCCCTGCCAGCAGCATGCAAGCGCTTCCTCTTTTCATCCTCACTAGCGCTTATCTTTGACCTTTGATACTATTCATTCTACCAGATGTGAGGCTGTATCTCCTGGTTTGATTAGCATTTCCGTCGTGACTGGAGATGTTGAGCACTTACTCATATACCTGTTAGCTATTCGAATTTCTTTTGAGAAGTGTCTATGTAGGTCCTTTGCCCATTTTAAAAATTGAATTATATTTTTGTTATTGATTTATATGAGTTCTTTCTGTATTTTGGATTATTTGCCCCTAGCTGATTAATTATATGGAATGTGAATTACATCTCTGTAAAGCTGTCAACACCCCATTCCCTTCCTACCTCCCCTCATAGAAAGAAATAAAAATGTTCTATGGAGTCAGAAAGGTCTGGGTTGAAATTCCAGCGTGGCTGAAGCCCCCCAGCTAGCTGGGCCTTACCGTTATTCTGTAAAATGGGATGGTCTGGAAAGGTTGATATAAAGTGCTGAACATGGTTCTTGGCAAATGTTTTTTCTCAATAAATAGAAACATTGTTTTATGTTAACATTTTTGAAAAAGGAAAAGCAACAAAAATTAAGAAAAAAACAGAGAGGTGTGGCCTTTTGGACCCAGTTATTTACCTGTATTTACAGCACAAGGGCTTTTTCTGCTGGATTGAATTAGAATCTTTGTATTTTAAATATTCCAAAAGGAAACAAGCAAGACCTTTGATGGATGGTCTACAAATAATATGACTAACATCTGAATAAGTCAATCCAAGATTCATGCTTCTAAACCAATCTGCCACCAAGAGTCGACTCAGTCCCACAAAAAATGCGGAGCCGACTTCTATGTTGTTTTCATAGTTATGAAGGTAGCCTTTAGCTCAGCGAGTAGAGGCAGCTCTTTGTTTCTGCCCATCAGTCCCATAGTGATACCACTGCCAGTTATTTAATTACAACTCTCCTCATGCCTATACCAAGAACTCCCAGATAATCTTATCAATGGAACTGAATCATCAGTCAATACACTCTTCAGTAGGCTGCATCCGAGACAAATTTTTCCAAATGAAGGACAAATAAAAGTGATAACTGTACTTTCATTCTTTTTGGGTACATCATGATGGAATGAAAAATATCTGGGCTGTAATTCAGAACACCTGAATTGTGTTGCCATCTGTATTCATCTAAAGTGGGGCCCTAAAATATTTCACTGAACCCCTCTTGGACTTCATTCATTCATATGCTCGCTGGTAATGTGATATCTACCTTGTTGACTTAATTGTCTTGAGAGAATTGAAGATCAAATGAAATGCAGTGTGAGAAAATACTTTCTAAACTGTAATGCTTCGTACAAATGAGTTGTTATACTTTCTCTAATCTCAGGTACAACCTGTTCATCTTTAGACTGTGAGAGAGGGAGTCTGAAGGCAGATAGTTACATCAGTAAACTATGTGAGAACCTACTGAGCTAGAACATTTCTTTTTATATTTTTTTCTGTTATGTTCCATGACCTGATTTAGGATAAACACCTGACTCTCAACATCACTTTTTAAAAGACACTTGCATTGGGCGTGGTGGCTCACGCCTGTAATCCCAGCACTTTGGGAGGCTGAGGGGAGTGGATCTCTTGAGCCCAGGAATTCAAGACCAGCCTGGGCAACATGGTGAAACCACCATCACTACAAAAAAAAAAAAAAAAGTAAAAATTAGCTGAGTGTGGTGGCACACACCTACAGTTCCAGCTACTGGCACCACTGCACTCCAGCCTGGGTGACACTGAGACCCTGTCTTGGGGGGGTGGGAAAGTTAAAAGGCACATGCTATATGAAACTGTGCGTGTGTGTGAATGTGTGTATTACTATGGGCTGAATTGTGTC